AACTTGAACTAACTAGTTTTTAACAGACAGAGTTAGTGAAAACCAGTCGTTGTATTTATAAATGTACATACATGATGATAAGGTGGCATTTAATTGAAAAATATGTTTTCATTATATTTCGAAAACAGCGTTACGTCATTTAGCCAGTTAGTATATCTACTTATTTTACAAGATATTAGATCGTTTTGTCTCCTCGTACCTCGTACTACAGCTGCTAGCAAAATGATGACTAGAACAGCGATTATGATTCCTTCCCATGGTATAATATGGTCTGCAATAGAAGCAGCAACATGATTAACTGAGGTCCTCAAACATTGTCAAATGAAATATTGCATTGCATTAGTACATACATTGGTACATGCTAGTTTATATCTTATATTTAACCGAGACATTTTCTGTGATCAGTAGGTTTTGTAACACACGCATTTAAGAAAAAAATCCATGATAAACTTCTTGATTTCACTAGTTACAGAAAAAACATCGAATAAATAAACTCACCATGAAGTATTTTCAGTATGAAAATTATCTTTTTACGAATTCATGAAAGAAGTATACAATACCATTGTGCAACTGGTCTTTATCAATTTCTTTTCCACCACTATTTCCATTATTTTGTCTTGCCCCCTTTTCTGTTATTTGTTCATCAACATGCGTTGACCTTAAATTATAAATAAATATAACGGATAAAATTAATCAAAAATACATGTTGTTCTCGATGTACAAATATGAGAATAAACCGTAGAAAGTAATTTACGATATGTAATGAGATGCTTCAATTTATGTGATAACAACGCCTAATAGCAACCATTATTTTTTAATTCATCAGATGGTGTCTTAATCACAAATCTTATAAAAAACTGAAAAAAGAACATAGGAACATGCATATTTCCTTACCTCCCAGAAGACGGGTCTTTATACTCCTTAACTTGTTGTTCAAGATCCACTCTCCCAATGTCTCGTAGAGCATCCGCAAGCAGATTTGCATTGTCTCCATGCTTCCCCCGTCTTTGCCTCCATATCTTTAAAACCTGATATCCCCAATTCCCCGCGACATGTTGTTCACTTGACTTGATATTCTCGATATCTGAATCACTGAGCCCTAACTGGATCCCAAGGGTATGGACGTCGTTCCCTATTTGTTTACCAATGCTCAATAAGAATTTATCACTAAGATCAGCTGAAATCATAATGATATGTTTTGAATAAGGCTTCTTCTTGGGCTCTTAATTTCGTGCCGAACAAGAATATTAGAAATACGAACTAATGAAACGAATCTCTGATGGAGCAAGGGAACGGTTGTCGAGGTTACCCTTCTTACCTCTAATTGTCAATAGCCAGAACGTCAGCAAAAGGTGAACTTTTGTCAAATACACCATCATTTTATAATCTGAAAAATAATTACGTATTCAAAAAAGTTTTACTTTGTCATTAAAGGCCCCATGAATAGTTTGAAAATATGTTTTTATCATTCATTTACTATTTTCATGTCTTTAAAAGTTATTTTAGAGATTTTTGAAAAACAACATTTGGGGAAAACAGATTTTCAGCTTTTTAATTCTCAAATATTCAAAATTCCCGCCATTTTTCAAATTAAATTAAAAAAATCTAATCATCAGATATTCTGTTAAAGACATGTTTAACAGATAAGTAGGTCATTATTCCATAATCATGAAATGAATAAGTCTGAAAATACAATTGATCAGAATGTACTAAAACCTGCTTGAAACTGAAAAACATTGCATGCACTATTCCACACAATTTGGAAGCTTTTGAAATTCGCAGTAACAATGAATAAGCAGCCTGTATATAATCATTGCATAGAAAACACTTCATGTAGTGTTTATCAGATGTATCGAGTTGACCAAAAAACGCCTTTGTTTACTACATACTGGACTACATACTGGCACCCTTACATATATGTTACTGTACATATTGTAGAATTAGCCCTTGAGTGCTTTGCAAAATCAACATCTTATACTATAAACTTAATAGACGGCTTGCCCAACCTTACAGGCAAACTATTATAGACAAATTTGAAGATAAGTCTGATATTGTCACATTGAATTATGATAATAAGTAAATAACATGTTGTAATATTTTACATGGGTATAACCATGTACAGTAGAATAATACACAGGGTTACCCTTATCGCATCCTACGACCCCTTTAGATTGTGGTCGTAGGCCCGTTTCATTCGTAAGCCTGTCTTTCTACAATGTCGGAGAATGAACTACGCATTGCACTATTAAATGACCTTCCTCGATACATTCCAGAGTATTTTAAAATTCTTTTTATGTTGTTAGATCGCCAATTGTATGGGTTTATCGGCAGAACGAAGAGATTTTAGTTTTTACATCGGAAATATCTCAGCAATTTTCAAAATGTCGGAAGGGGAATTCCCCGAGGATTTCCCTTATGACTGGTGCATGCCGGAAACTGAATGGAGGAATTTGACGGTTGAAATAAGTTAATATTACACGCAAATATTGCTATCAAAAACGAAAATATCTTCGTTCTGCCGATAAACCCATACAATTTGCGATTCAACTATATGAAAATAATTCTAAAATACTCAGGAATGTATCGAGGTAGGTCATTTATGTGTGCAATGCATAGTTCATTCTCCGACATTGTAGAAAGACAGGCTTACGAATGAAACGGGCCTACGACCACAATCTAAAGGGGTCGTAGGATGCGATAAGGTTACCCTAAGTTGTCGAAACATGAATATGTTTCTAACTTATAATTAATTAATTCATATATCCTAAGGATTTCACCTGTTCCCTTCCTGACCAAACCTTGTTTTATTTTTAATTTTTTTACAATGATAGAGTAGTTTATTTTATGTTATTGACACGAGAACTCAAATATCAATGGGAAAACAATGCTAAACCTGCACACTGAAATAATTATCCAGCAGGCCTTGGAAAATATGGCTAGAAAAAGATGCTTCACCTAAGGGCTACAGGTGGACAAACTATTCCCCCTGAAAAGTATTTTAAGGGTCAGATCACTAAATTCATGATTGCATTGAAAAGCTTTGAATGCTAATATCAAGAATGGATGTATTACAAAAGAAGAAAATATGAAGAATTCATATCGTTAATTTCAAGTGATTATTTAGTGTCAAGTTTTGTCTCTATTGACAGCATGTTACTGAATATCTTATCAAGTGACCTAAACTACAGCAGCTAAAATAAGCATACCGAAATACTATAATTTAGTATGATTCAGAGAAAGGGATTATATAGTTATAAGGGATTAGCAATTTATCTAATTATCTTACAATTTAGCTCAATTCTTGAATTTGAAGATCTACTGCTAATTCTTAATATGCATTATAACAGATCGATTTGACGGTAAGAACTAGTATGTATTGTGATGTCATAGAGACAATTAGAAAAATTGAAGAATTTGAAGAAAAATAGCCACCCAAAGACACTTACACCTGCTAATTGCCACTTTACAAAGAGTTTATTCAAGCAAGAAAACTATTTGGAAAAACGTAATTTCGGGTTGAACATGGTACCCACAACTCTGGTTACCATAGCAACCATATCTCAAGGACCAATCAAAATTGAGGTCCCAAATTTTACCATATTATGTATAAATATATAACACATATGTGTACCAAGTTTCATTGCAAAAGTCCTATTTTCCTTGAAGTTATGGCATCAACTGCAAAACTTTTTGAACCACCTAAGTAATATGATCGATTTTACCTTTTTGTCATCATTGTTAAGGAATATAATAATACCATTCCAATTAATGATAGCTCACTTATTGTATTACTTCCGCTTGATACACATGCTGGAAGATATGCTTTTAAAATTGGTAAACCATTACCAAAACTATGGTAACCCTGTAGTAGTGAAAGGCACATTCAAAATGAATATCACCCCCTTCAATCTATTTTTACAGGTTTTTATGATTATTTCACGTTTTTCTATATTTTGCGTAACCGGGACGGTGGATTTCTTCATTTTTCTTCAAACATTTC